CCCTTGTCCCTGCCCTCCCTTCACCCCCTCCTCCCCTCCCCATCTACAAACACTTTATTTCCATCCTTTCATTATCTCACATTTTTTTCTTTTCCCTTATTACCCTTCCCCTACCCATCCCACCTTCCCTACACCTTTAGCTCCTTTCTTCCCATTTCTAAATGTCAGTAATCTTATTAGGATCTTATGTATTATTGCAGATTATTCACACCAGGGAAACTATTCGGTATTTATACATGCGTGACTTATTTATTTCACTTAGGAGTATATCTTCAAGAAGATGTGGTTTTTCTGTAAAATGGAATATTACTCAGCCATAAAGAATGAGAAAATAGATTCATTCATAGGAAAATGGATACATATTGAAAATTTAGGTGAACTTTAAAAAGCAAATTCAAACCGAAAAAGCATTTTGTTTTGCTTTATCAAATTCAGTCTTAAATGACAAAAAAAAAAAAAGATTAAAAGACTCAGGAACACTATGGACCCAATGAGTCAAATGCATATTTTGCCTTCCTCTTGAGCACCACAGATAATTTGGCAGCCCAGAAAACCTGCTGCTGTACTCATTAGTCTTCCACATGTTCACAGCTCAGGAGAGGTTGTCTGAAAAAACAATGAGTAATACAAGGAAAATGTATAAACTTACCTTACTGTCAGAAACCTCTTATTAACAAGGATCTCTGACCTTGAATTACTGTACCATTCATTTGGTAATTTGCTTTTTATTTTTTTGAATTCTTAATTAAATGTTTTTTGGGTTTTTTTTGGGGGGGTGTTGGTACCAGAGTTTAAATTTGGGGCTTTGTGCTTGTGAGGTAGGGAGCAGAACCCCTGGGCCAAATCCCTGACCCAGTGCTTCATGTTCTTTCAACAAATTTGTTTTGCACTTGGAATTATAAATTAAACACTGCTTTTATGCCATATATGTAAAGGCTCTTAACTTTTCGAAATATAAGCAGTACCTGAATTGTAAATGGGCCTTTTCCAAGAGTTAGTTTGTATATTAGTTTTTGGAACTCTGTAAAAATTATATAAGTGTTGGATAAATTTCCAAAGCACACTACACAAAAGCCACTGGGCAACTGTATATGCAGTAAATGGATCCCTAAACCACCATAGAGCCAAATGGTCACACACACACCCCGCCCTGGCATGGGGAATTGAACTGAGGACATTGTGCTTGGCAAGCAGGTGCAACACTGCTGAGCTACATCCCTGGCCCCCCAAATGGTTACTTTTAACAGTTACCATAGGAACTGCAGTTATGCAGAGGTGCACCCCCAAGACTGTTCCGCCCTCTCTCCTGTGATGTGGAAAGGGAGAGTCCTCTCTTCAGTTCCCTCTAGTTCTGACTGTGATTCTGGATCTAGGCTCCACCAGAATGGGCTATGAGGCTTGTAGAACTGGAGTCTTTGTCTCTAAATCAATGAATTTGCTTGATGTACTAAAAGGTGACAAACTAGGGTTGGGCAGCCTCCTAGGGGCTTCCAGTTGTAGTGAAAATTGTCTGCAAGGTGTCATTTGTTCCTTTCTTTTCCCTTTCCCTGTGCTTTTGTTGCTGTTGAAGGGAAAGGCAGGCAGAGAGAAAACCAGCCATGGGTTTCTTATAGTTTCTTTCAAGGAGTTGCTCCCCCTTTCCTTTGGCTTTGTTCTCTATGGTAAAAGATGGTAAGAATGGGAGGAGGGATGTGGCCAGGTAGGAGCCTAATGTTAGGAGGCAAAAGGATTTCTTCCTGCAAATCCTCCTAGCTCCAACCTATTGTGATGTGATGGGGGCGGCATTTCAGGGATTGGTTTGGGATTTGGAAATCCTAAACATCTGCTCACTGGTAGCAATGAGATGGAATGAAAGAAGAGATGAAAGGAAAACATTAACAGAAGAGGAGAGTAATATGCACAGAATGGATCTATTTAAGCTACTTTTGCCTGTGAAATAAAAGATAAAATCCAAGTTGGGGTCCTTAAAATCTGTGGCCCAAGTGGACAAATGCCATTTTATTTTCTAACAAAGATATGCTTTAATATTTAAATGATGGAATACAGATGTCAGATTTTCTGTGGATAATTCTACATTGTATGTATCAACTTTACAGTCTGTTAAATGTAAGGAAACCTTAAAGGAGCTTTACTTCTTCTTTGGTGCAGGGAGCTGGAGGAAAGGTTGGATCTGGCCTAAGGCTCTGGTTCTCTCTGGAGGTCAGTTCCAACAACTCTTTTACTCATTTCTTTCTCATTATTTTCCCCTGTGCAAGACCCATAGATGTGTGGGACTTTGTTGAGTCCACAGACTTCCAACAAGTGTGAAATTAATAGTTGTAGAAATCACATAGGAAACAAAGATGAGCAGATCCAAGCAAACCAGACTGAATCCTAGATGAGCCCTGCTTGGACCATCAGGTGTAGCCTAAAGGGGAAGGGTCATTTGGAAAGGAAAAGGGCTCATTCCAGTTAACCTGTCACCTACTGACATCAGGAATCTCTGACTGGCAAACTGTTACCCTTCCTATATGTTTTGTCTTTTACCCAAAAGTTGTGCTTTTGGAGCCAGAAAAGGTGTTCATAAAATACAAAATAATTGGTAAAAGCATCTTGAATAAAAACATTTTGATAAAAACTTGACATATTCTTGTGTTCATAATGCCATTTCTCTTATCCATTTCTCTATGAATCAGAACCAAAGAGTAACAGGATGATTCACAAAATTTAGATAAAAGTGGATTTTCAAAAGTTAGGTGTAGTGAATTCTACTTCTTGTTGAAACTTAGGTTTTAATAATAAACTTTTAAATACTGTTCAGCTTTTCTTCGGGGTATTTTATGCTATGGGACAGTATTCCTCATCCACGATGAAACATGATTAAGACATAAAGCAAAATCATGCCTTCTGTATAGGCTTCCTCTTCCTTTTGTAACTTTAGAGGCACAGTCAGGATCAACTGAAAGGTGAAGAATCCTAAAACATTTAGTTGCAGGCAGTGTTTTAAACTTCTAAATCAAGGTAGTTCTTGCAGTGGTGGGGGCAAGTGTTGGAAAGGGCCTAGCTAGGCTAGGTCAAGCCACTGGAGCTGCAAAATGATCACAGGCAGAGTCAACTTTGGAGTGGTAAATAAAGAGGATTAACTCAAGTCCCTTGCCCTGCTGAAACGAGGCAAGACTTTTCTGGACAGGATGGAGACCAGGAGGGATGAAACCTTCTCTGGTTAGAGAGGAAATGTGGTATTAGGAGAGCCTCATTCGATCCCAATAATAACCAAACAACTGCTGGTGCCCAGGGCACCGGGTGGAGAGTGGGAGGCAGGAAGTAGAAAGGCTCAAGCTCCTTTCTGGTTCTGTTCGGGAATTTAATTTCGGCTGCTGCACATGGATATGAAGCTGAAGAAGACAGCCTCTTGTCCTTGAAGAGCTCATACGTCAGCAAAATGACTTTAACATTCCTAGTGGGCTTTGATGCCCTTTATCTTGGGAGTTGTCAAAGGAAAGTTACTCCTAATTCCATTCAGTTTCCGAAAGATTTCAAAATAGAGAAAACGAGGCGAGGGACGGGGTGAAGGAATGACTGTCGGGACTGGTGCCAGACTGGGCAGCCGCCAGACTCGGGCTGTGGCTGCGCCGCTTGTTGTCAAGAGGCATCCGGGATCGTCCCTCGTGGGTACCGTGGGGCTTGGCCGGGCACGGCGGGCGCGGCGCTCCCTGCAGCG